TGGACCAGGCTGAGCGGGCAGCCTAAGGACGACAAGGTCGAACTGCTGGCTCACCGAGACCTCAGCCGTGGCGAAGCTCGACACCGTGAATTCGGCGTTCGTTGCGGAAGGATACGCGTTCTGGATGGCAACGGTCCGGTTGGCATCGCTGGACGCGAATTGATACTGCGTGCAGGCAGCCCGCGTCACGGTGTCCGCCCTGTCCAGCCAGAGACTCCTAGCGGGTGCCTCCGAGTCCAGATCGACCTCCAAGACAGTCAATCCTGGACGTTTGTGCGCAATCGTGTCAATCAGCCCCTGAGCCGCCTCTCCCTCTGCGCCGAGGCCAGCCACCAGGTGGTGGAACCCGGTTTCCGAGAGTAACGACACATCTGGAGCCCACTTCACCAGGCCGTACGAATGGGCTAGTCCGGTCTCCGGGCTGGAGCTGTCGAGCTCCGTGTACCGCAGGCCCTTCATCTCGAGCAGCAGATTTCCATGCACCGGATGGAACACGGCCGTGGATGCCGAGTAGTTCTTCGCCACGTCGACTCTCCCGATGCCAGTGAACTCGGACTTCGCGACGGCAAATGCCTCAACCGGAAGATCGGAGTTCCAGGGGATCACCAAGCTGTCGATCGAGAGAGGGACCAGGGCCGCATCGACGGCGCTTCGGTCGCCCTTCCAGGCAGATGACAGCACCGTCTGAAAGCATCCGTCCATACAGGCCGGGTGAATCGCGTAGCTGGACTGCGGCCAAGCTGAGGCAGGCGCCTCCAGCGAGACCGTCGAGCGGCCAGACCGCTGACCGGCCTGATACTCCATGGAAAGATGCTTCTGGAACGAGGGTCCGAAGTTGAACCCGGCCTCCCGCATCGCCTTGTACCAGGCACGGGCAGACACCGGCGTTTGCAGCGGTGCCAACGCCCCGACCGGGGCAGGGGTGTCCAGGAAATCCGTCTCGATGCGAATGAATCCCGAGGCATGGTCGTGGATGATGTCCTCCACCCGGGACGAAACCTTGTACTCATACCACGACTTGTCCGGCGTGAGGTTCAGGATGACCTTGGAGTCGTAGGAGCTATCCAAGACCAGGGCACGGAAGAACTTCATATTACGGAGGCGGAATCGGTACCGCGCGGGCACGCCGTCAGTCCACTCCGTTAGACACATCGTCTGATAGATTGCCTCCATGGCCATGGCAACATAGCCTGCACCGGGGAACACGACTTGATCCCCAATCCGGTGGTCCTTGAGCCACGGGTGGTCGTTGAGGCGCAGGGTATTTCTCCACGTCGGAGCCTGCCATGGGGTTCCGAGGACTTTGGTTCCGAGCAGATCATGTTTGAGAAAGGGCCGTGCGCGCCAGTCCTTACTCGCGGGGCTCTCGTGCCAGTACTTCTTGGAGTGATTCCACACGTAATTGGGAAGGTCAACCAGGGTGAATGGCGGGTCCTGGACGCTGTACTCGTTCACCCGCGCCAGGTCGACGGTGCCACCGGCCGTAAAGAGCCGGCCAGCGACGTGATACAAGGCTTCCAGTGTCTCAGTGCCTCGCTGGGCGGCGGAAGTGTAGATGGGGGGCCCTTCAATGCTGGATGTAATGGCGTCGATGATCTGGGCCACAGGTCCTTTCAGCGCATTTGACGGGCCAAGTTCGACCAGGAAGTTGACTCCATCTTTACCCTTCAACATCTCGGATGCTGCCTGGTCGAATCGGACCTGCGAGACCATGTTCTCCAGCCAGTATGTCGCATCGACGGGGTGCTCCAGCGGCGCACCGGTCACTGAGGAGAACATGACCGCATCCGTGCTCTTCGTCTGTGATTCCTCGATGCCATGAGCGTTCAGCATCTCCAAGTACCTCTTGCCGATGCTGCTCATGTACTTGGAATGATAGGCATAGTTGACCTGGAGCAGACGGGCAAAGTGATTCTCCGCCTGCAGCCGATCTCGCAACCGTTCCAGGGCAGCCACCGTCCCCGAGATGGTGAGACTGCGCGGGCTATTGAAGCAGGCAATCTGTACCAGGTCATCGTCGGAATCGATGAATTCCTCAATCTGAGCTGCGCTGACGCCCACTGCGAGCATACCGACTGCCTGCTGAGGGGGCAGCTGCTTCCCTGCCTGGCCGCGGAAGAAGGCCACCTTGATGGCTGTCTCGGACGTCAGATAGCCGGCAGCCACTGCCGCCGCAATCTCCCCCGAAGAGTGGCCCACGACCCGCGCCGGTCGGATGCCCCACTGCGACAGGACGGCTAGCAGAGCCAGCTGCAGCGCTGTGACCAGCGGCTGGGAGAACTCCGGCTTGCGGAGGTGCGCTGAATCGCGGTCCTCGGTTAATTCTGACACCAAGGACCAGGAAGGCGGTTCCGGGAGAGACTGCAGAACGGTGTCCAGACTCTCCACGACGCTGCGTGCGAGGGGGAAGGCCTCCAGGAGCTGCTTCCCCATCGCGGGCCACTGCGCGCCTTGCCCGGTGAAGATGAAGCCGATGCGGAGGTCCCGCCCCAATGGCTTTGCCAGTTGGAACGCGTCCGACGTGATCTGAGCGTCCGTCTGCAGACTGTAGGCACGGTGATAGAGTTTACTTCGACGCTCGGAGAGCGTGAAAGCCAGATCCTCTAAGTCAACCTGAACGCCCGGGTTGAGGATGTGCGACGACAAGCGCTTGATGGAGGCCTTGAGGGAATTTTCATCTTCGGCGGACAAGACGATCACCTTCGGCTTGGTGAGCGATGGGGTCAAGACCCCCGAGTCTTCAATGGAGTCTTCATCGTCGCTATCTTCGAAGAAAGCCTCGCTGATGCCCTCCCTGTTCGCAAAGGTGGACTTGTATTTGGGGATGCGGTCGCCGAGGAGGTACTCGGGCGCCTCGATAATGGCGTGGCCATTAGCTCCGCCAAACCCGAAGGAATTGATGCTCGCGCGCTTCTTCGTGCTGGCGGGCCAGGCCAGGGCATTTCGCGACGCGCGCACCCGGTTCTTCTCGAAGTCGATCTTTGGATTGGGCGTGATGAAGGTGGCGGTCCCGGGGATGATGCCCTTCTCGACGGCGAGCACGGCCTTAATCAGGCCCGAAAGCCCAGCTGCAGCCTCGGAGTGCCCGATGTTACTCTTGATGGACCCGATGATGAGCGGATCAGCGGCGGACTTGCTCTCCGCAAATACCGATGCCGCGCCGTCCACCTCAATCGGGTCGCCGACCAGCGTGCCCGTCCCGTGGCACTCGAGGTAGCCGGTCTGCGACAACTCGGCCTCTGGGATGCCCGCGTTGGCGTAGGCCATGCGGATGGCGGCCGCCTGGGCCTTGCCGTTCGGCATGGCGATGCCGGGGGTCCTGCCGGCACTGTTGGTGGCTGTGCCGCGGATGATCGCCCGAATCGGGTCCCTGTCCCGAACCGCATCGTCCAGGCGTTTCAGGAAGACGGCGTTGATAGCCTCCGCCGCCACGTACCCGTCGGCGTTGGCATCGAACGTGTGGCATTTTCCCGTAGCGGAGGCAGTGGGACGCATGGCACCCATGTCTTGGTTTCTCTCTGGGCTCAGATACATGTTCACACCCCCGACGAGAATGCCGTCGCACTGGTTGGCGGAGAGGTAGAGACAGGCCATGTCCAGGGCGATCAGTGTGCTGGAGCATGCCGTGTCGATGGTCATACTCGGGCCGTGGACGTTGAGGTAGTGGCTGATGCGGTTACTGAGCAGTGCACGACCGGTGCCCATCGTGGGGGACTCGGTGCGATCCTCGGGGTCCCGACAGGTCATGTCGTGGTAGTCTTCACGCTGGTCAGTCATGCCCCCTTAACTTAGCATACGGGGATGGATCACTCACCCACGGCACTCGCTCCCACCAGGCACCCAATCCGCTTGCCCCCCAGGCTCTCCACTGGGATACCGGCATTTTCCAGGCACTCATACGCCACCTCCATGAGCACCCGTTGCTGGGGATCCATCGAGCTAGCGTCCATGTGGTTGATATTGAAGAACTGGGCGTCGAAGTCGGCCGGGTCGACATCCTCGAGGAACATGGCCCCGGGCGTCTTCATGGTAAATGGTTTCTTGGACCCGTCGTAATGCCCATCCAGGTTGAATCGGTTGCTGGGCGGCTTTGTCTCGGCCACACCCCCGCGGGCCATGAAGTCCCAGAGGTCTTTGGGAGTGTGAACATGTCCTGGTAAACGACAGGCCAGGCCCACAATGGCTATGGGGGATTGGGACACCGACGTGAGTGCAGTCTCTCCAGCCGTATGGCCGTTGGTGTGGCCGTTGGTGTGGCCGTTGGTGTGCCCGTTGGTGTGGCCGTTTGTCTGGCCATCGGATGGCACAGACGAGAGCAGCTGGCTGCCAGATCCTGAGTCTATCATTCTATTGAATTGAACAGAAAGTGCAAGGGAAATCTATGTTACTCGAACGTTTATGAAGCGCTCTACTACGCAGAGTGTCAGCCGCACCTTATATATAGGTGCGACAGCTGATATAGAGAAGGGTTGGCATCTAGGACGGACAAATCTACAATCCCTGTCTATTTCCACCACGTTGTTCTCTGGTTCTCGAGACTATTGCGTTATCAAGATCCCTGCTCCCCAAGGTTGCAGACACGAGATGGAGTCGAAGGCTCCAAGTGATTACCGATCTCGCATCGCCTTACCAGCCAGAGCGTGATGCACAACGGTATACAGAAGGGGAAGCAAGATAAGCAATATAATATATATATAAAAATCATCCGTTCTATCTAATAGATCTAATAGGTCCTCAAAATTACTAGTGATTATATCCTCAGCACTAGTGCTGCGTTGTCACTTTTGGTGCAATAGCCCTGTCAGCGAGACTATATTAGCGGAATGCAAGGTCAGCTTGTAGATGTCGCAGAGATTACCAATTTCCGACGGTTGGGAGCTCGGATGATGTGAGGGCCTTAGAAGCACCTTGTGTAGGATACCAGGGCCGCGGCTGATATTAGACAGACACCTCATCATTTCTGCTCGGAGAAATCATCCATTGAATCCTCATTCCAGACCATGTCGCAGCGCGAACAAGTCGAATTCAAGGCCCTGGACGGAGTCACCCTCCGGGGCCACTTCTACCCAGCCTCATCGCCCGGAAAGAACGCAGCAGTGATCATGACTCCCGGCGTGAGAACCCCGTCTTGTCTACCGGCAGTTCGTCTCTCCCTGACCAGATGATGTAGTTCAACACCACCCGAGATGTCTTCCTCCCCAACATTGCGCACTCGTTCCAAACCAGTGGCATCTCATGCCTGGTCTACGATCCGCGGACTATTGGGTCCAGCGACGGCCAGCCACGCAACAACATCAACCCGTCCCTGCAAGTCTCCGACTACCATGACGCCCTCACATTCCTCAAGTCCGATCCCCGCATCGACCCCCAGAAAATCATCTACTGGGGCTTCTCGTTCGCCGGAGCCATTGCTCTATGTGCCGCGGCGCTGGACAAACGCGCCAAAGCGGTGATTGCCGTCAATCCACTCACAATCTGGGATCTGCCGGCGAACAAGCAGGCCAAGGTCCTGGCTAAGGCAATGCAGGATCGCGAGTCGCAGGTGGCTGGCAACGAAGCCTTTCGGCTGCCGATGCTGACAGAGACCGGGGAGAATCCGGCGGGGTTTGGTGCGGGTGGCGTTGGGGAAGAGGAGGTCAAGTTGGTGAGGGAGGCCAAAGAGAAGATTGTCGGGTTTGAAGATACTACAACTTTACAGACCTACTATCATATCGTGAGTTGGAGTCCGTTTGAGGTGGTGCGGTTGATGGGGAAGACTGCGGTACTCCTCATTAGTGCGGCGGAGGATCGTATCTCGCCGGCCGAGCGGCAAAAGAGGGCGTATCTGGAAGCCTTGCAGGGACTTGGTGCGAGGGATATATTTGTCGTCGAGGGGAGAGGGCACATGGACATATTGGATGGCGAGAGTTTGGCGGCAGCGATGGAGAAGCAGGTTGAGTTTATACAGAAGGTGATTTAATTGAATCCAAAGGTGTTTACGTTAGGAATGATAGACTCTTAATTGAACAACTATTCCGCTGGATCCATAATCCTCCTTGCTTGGGCTTGTTGTGAGTAGTAAGAGCGATGTCTGAGACTGGAATGAGTGTGTAAATTCAGTATCGAGATCAAAGGTTGCCTGGTATGGTTACATCATCCAAACCAGGTACCTAAAGAAGACTAGCACGGCGTTTCCAATTAAACAGACCACGTCGGAGTACTCCGAGTACCAAGAGACTAGAAGGCCCGAAGGATTCGCACTAGGCCGCTCCCGAGCTTGTCGTGAGAATAAGCCGAAATTGAGAATCTGACATGCATGAACATGCATGGCCTGAGTGCCTCTCGACCACGAGCTGCAAGCTCGTCCGATAGTCCCTCGTAGCCCTATACAGGGGTCCATTTCATGTCCCTGTCAATGATCGGTCATCCTGAGCTCCCGATTTCAAAGCATCCGTGGAGGAGCACATAAGCATTATTAATCGCCTACAGGGCTATCTCTCAACACCTCCATAGCTGGCTAGCTATTTAGAGGCAGCTGCAAACATGAAGCTAACTCCTCTTTCTCTCTCCATCCCATTCATCAAGCCTATTGATCCAATCGCAACGCTACCAGATACGACTCCCACCCGAATCTTTCTATCATCCATCCTCCCGCCATGACTATTTCCGACAATACTGTAGTTTTCGTTACCGGCGCTAGTCGAGGCAAGTCCTGCCTAGACCCGTATTCGGATCGAGCTGACGGAAGATAGGAATCGGACGGACGTTGGTGGAAACCTTCCTGCTCCGGCCTAAGCACACCATCATTGCCAGTGTCCGCGACACAGCCGCAAACTACGTCAAGGAGCTTGAGGCCTTGCCCAAGGCTGATGGCTCGCGTCTGCAGGTAGTAAAGATTGAAAGCAGCAACTCGGCCGACCCGGCGGCGGCCATCAAGGATCTCACGGACGTCAACCACATCGATGTGGTCGTGGCCAATGCCGGCGGAGCCGGCGAGAAGGGCATCATCCCCTTGGACGTGGTGAGCTCCGAGATCGTGACCGACGTGTTTACCGTGAATGCGCTCGGGCCCCTGGCCCTGTACCAGGCCGTCAAGCCTTTGCTGGAGAAGTCCCAGGCCCCCAAGTGGGTGTCGGTCAGCAGTGCTGCCGGTTCGATTGGCCGACTTGAGCTTCACAAGGCTCACATTGCTCCGGCGTACGGCATCGCCAAGGCGGGCTTGAACTGGATCACTACGTAAGATGCTGCCAGCTTTAGCCTATCCTGGCTGGGGAAGAATCGGCTAACTCTGGCGGACGTGCAGTGCCATCCACAGCGCCAACAAGGGCTTCATCGCCTTTGCCGTTCATCCAGGGTAGGCCACCAGAGACACTAGCCGGATTGGGGATTTTGGACAGCAGCTGACCGTCTGACAGCCTCGTGCAAACGGAGAGCGGCAACAAGAGTGCCCGCGCGATGGGCCTTCCCCAGGCCCCCAACTCCCAGCGCCAGAGTATCGATGCCATTCTAGGCCTAGTACGTGATGCCCTCCCCTATCTCGAAGGATGAAGGATGCAGACTGACTCGTTCAGATTGATAATGCGTCTCGGGAGACGACCTCGGGCAAGTTCTTCAACGTGATTGATGGCACAGAGATCCCGTGGTAGAGGCCGCGACAGCCTCGCTCCTGTCTGAAACGCTCAGTGGCGCCATTGATAAGCTGCAGGATTGATAGAACAAGTACCCTGCCTCGCAGTGTCTGTCTCTGTCATCCATAGATTGTCTATCTTGAGAATATTTGAATCTGTCGACATCTGAAGGTGTTATTAGTGTCCACTCCCGTATTGTATCCGGCCAATTGGAGATACCAATGACTCTGTATTTCATTACCCCTATTTCTCGTTATATTGCTACCCCCACTACTACCTAGTGCCCAGCCCATCTAATTACGAATAACCCACGCTAGTGTAACTGGTATAATCTAGTAAAATGGGCAAAATTGGACGCGTTTCTAGACATTGCCCTACACCTCACTACATTACGCATCATAACGCTATACGCAGTATTAGTACTACTGTACATAGTGAACATAAAATACTTGTGTTGCCTCACTGTACGGAGTACATGATCGACGGCCGAAATGGTATTAACCCCACAGCACCCCTGTCATATTTAAAATTGCAAAATCAGGCAATTGGACTGAACTTGCAAATGCAAAAGACCAGCCAATTAAATTGAGCTTACAGGTATAAAAAATAAGCCAATTGAATTGAGTATGAATGGCACCTGGGCAAAAACAGGCAATTCCAAAAGCAGACTGAATATGCAACATTAAAAATTCAAAAGTAGTTATCTCAAATGCAAACATCATACATTCAAATCCATTTTTCTATCTCAATATCTTATACTTGATCTTCCATTCATCTTCCTTCCTACCATTGACCCCTGTAATCTCCCAGAACCTCATTCGGCCCCTCCGGCACGCTCACACCCGACACAACCTCCCGTCCCCATTCTCCTTCCATTTTTCGCTGCCCACCGCGGTACGGGCGTAGAACAGCTCGTTCGGGTCGTAGCGCTGCTTAACCACCCCCAGGCGCGGGTAGTTGTCCCCGTAGAAGACCTCCTGCCAGTTTGGGTCCTGGAAGTTGGCCTCATTCAGGTAAGCGCCCCCACCCGGGGTGACGGCCTCGAGTTGCGGCATGTAGATGTTTGTCAGGCTGGCCTGGCGCTCGAGATTCTCGTCCCAGGGGATGGAATAGTCCCACGTCTGGACCATGATACAGGTCAGCAGCGCAGAGCGCCAGACGGGGAAGACGGCATTGGAGGTGAAGGGCGCCTGCCGGGACGAGTTGGCGTTGAGGGCAGCACACGCAATGTAGAAGCCCGCCTCCGTGAAGCCTTGCAGTGCGGCACTGATCTTGCTGAGACTCGGGCTGGCGGGCTCGAGCAGCTCTCGGGGGATGATGCGGCCACCCGTGATCTGGCCGACGTCGGTGGACTCCGCGGTGGGCACAAAGTAGGACTCATACAGGGCATAATACGAGGAGAAGCTGGAGGAGCTGATGTTGACGGCGACTCCCGCCTGGGCCAGGCTACGCACAATCGGGGCCAGCGTGCTGGTGACCAGCGCTGGGTCGCTGCCCGGAATGACGGCGGCGAAGACAATCAGCTCCGTGCCGAGGATGAAGTAGGTCAACGTGGCCCCAGTATCCACCACGGGTGCTAGGCTGGAGTGGAACAGGTCGACGGTGTTCCAGAAGGCGGTTGTGTTGCTGTTGGAGACCGTGAAGCCAGCGCCCTGCATGGGCCCATCATCATACGTGCGCGTGGTCATCGAGACGATGACTGCGAAGGTGCCTGCCCCGCCTCCACTGAGGGCCCAGTATAGATCCGCGTGCTGCTTGGGGGTGACGGTCAGATGCTCGCCCGCCGCCGTCACCACCTCCCATTCCAGCACGCTGTCTGCGGCCATTCCGTACAATGAAGTCAGGCTGCCATGTCCTCCGCCGGCCGTGTAGCCCCCGGCTGCCCCAACGGTACCACACGTTCCGCTCACCACGCGCTTCCCTCGCGCCGCCGCCACCGGGAGGACGTCTTTGAACATGATGCCCGCCCCGATACGCACCGCCGATCCCGTGTACAGACTGTCGCCCGCGTAGTCGTCAATAAATTCGAGGCCTTTCAAATTGTGCGTCCATAGCGAGAGAGCCCCGCGCCCCGTGGACTTCCCCAGTAAACTACCACAGTCAGCATGGAAGGATTACATACCGGGACAAAGAGTGGAGATGGGAGGGGAAGCCTACTCATGACCTGTGTTCTTGATGGTCAACCGGACGTCGTGGCGGGTGGCAAAGGCGAGTCCAGCCTGGATATCAGACACGCCGGTGACATTGATCGAGTACACGGCGTAGTTTCCCAGCGTGCAAGGCTTGCCCTTGGGGGTGAAGGGCTCGCAGTACTGGCCCTGGAAGTAGGGATTCAAAATTTCGGCCGGATAGTACACGCTGTCGGGGTGAGTCGGGAATGGATGGATGGGCGGGATCGACTCACTGAGCCTCCACCGTCAGCCAGTTCTCCTTGAACCAAGCACAGGCAGTCGCATTGTAGGCGGGATCATGGCACACCTGCGCAACTGGCACGGTGGCAATCAGGCGCCCTCCCACCGTCTGGTTAAGCTGGGCCCAGTCTTGCGCGCTGGGCCAGTCCGCATCTTGTGGCAGCTTCCTGCAAGTTGACAGAAGGGAATTGGTGGGATTGGTGGACACGGCCAGGGAGGATGCAGATGGAGATGTACCACCTACCTGCCCCACGAGCCAGGCCGCCATCCAGGCTCGGAGCAGAGTGGAACGAAGCGCGGCACCAAGCATCGTCCGGTAAATAGAAACCGAGGTTGATTGCGAATGCCCTCATCCAGGAATCATTGTCCTACTCTATTTATATTGCCACTCAGCCCGAGTCTAGAATCATCTCAGCTGAGGCGAGTCTCGTACGAGCCGGCGAGAGTGGACAGATACAGCCACATTGATGCCTACAGTATCGCAGGATTCGAGTGGGACTTTTACGAGGAGGACAAGTCCTTCGCGAATTTGGAGAAGCGAGGCCAAGCAGAAACAATCTTTCGCCCTAAGGAATCAACATCGTTGGTCTTACGGAAAGCCCCAAAAGTGATGAGGCGGCGCTAGTGCTGTAGGATACAACCACTAGTAATTTACAGGACCTGTCCCGTGTCAGATTTATTAGATAGAAGGGGGGATTTTGGTATGGATGTCGTGATGTGTTGCCTAGCCTATAGAGGAGGGCGTCTCTGGCCCCCAAACCTAGACCTAGTCAGCCCCCACGTGCTATATCCTTATCCTTATCCCTGTCTATATCCTCCGAGCCGCGTCCACGAAAGCTATTATTATAAACGTGAGACGGATACTCCCGACGAAATCAGTATGGTGCGAGATCCTTTGAATATTGCCAAACGCCGTCTCTCACCCGCCATCCAAAATAACG